CCATATTAGAGAACTGTAGAAAATTATGGAAGGCCGTAAGCGCATGAGGAGTGTGTGCTTTCTCTGCCAGGAAGCAGCAGTGGTTCACATGAAAATTTAATTAGGAGCATACAGAATGTCTTCAGGTAAATGTCAGGTTTGAAAAAGCAGATTTCAGAGGGGGTTTTGAAGAGCGGGGGGAGCTAATACAAGGCATTTCATCTTTCCTCTGAAGCTGGAGCGACCTTTCCAATAAACTGTTGCTTGAAGTATGGTTATGATCAGGAAAATACTATTATTTATTTGGATTACTAGGATGGGATTCTGTTGGACTCAGAGGTTTAGTAATGGGGATATATAGCATCTTTCACATCTAAATTGGCCGATCAAATTCCAGCCCAGTTCATGGTGTGTGAAAGTTACTTACGTCTGATTTTTGGCAAGTTGCTTTCTGTGTCCACTGCACAGAAATCATCACAGCTGCCTTTAACTGAAAAGCACAATGGAAGTGGAAGGAGAGAGGCTATGGATTAGATGGGCTATAAAGAAAATGGACTGTGAAGGTTGAGCTATCTTTGCATCTCTAAAAATGGTCCCTGCAGAGCAGGGCTGAGGTGTGTTGGTGGGGCGTTGTGGGGAAGCTCACTCTGCTATTGGGATACACCTGGATGCTGTGTGTGAATTTATTTAAACAAATAGTACTTGATTCATTTTGTAATGCTTTTCATCTGTACATCTCAAATGTGGGTAAGTATCATTATCCCCATTTTATAGGTGGGGAAACTGAGGTACAGAGAGGTTAATATAGACAATATACTGCTTCTCAATACATGTTTTATGGGTAAATAGAAGATTACAATGTCCCCACCAGGCTGTCAGATGACTAGGAGGTTGCGACCATCCCTTCTAGATGTGGTCCTCACCAGTTTTCTACACCTTTTCTACAATCCAATCCTTCTGATTGGATTAATGCAGTGCACTCTACACAGGGCTACTCTTGAAGATGACCTGGAAAGTTTGCTTGTTCAGAATGTGGCCCCTCACATGCTTAACTGTGGTTCTGGCACGGAGCAGAACATTACAGCTGTGCTCCATGATTGTACTGGCTTTCCAGATGCAATTCAAATTGTTGGACTCAGAACTATAATCCCCTTTTGTGATTTCGGCTCTGTATATCCCTGCCTCTCACCTCAAATTCTACTCCTGTAGTTGAGACCAGCTGAGTCAAATGAGCTGATAGTGTCTAGATTTGTAAATCTAGTACTGGTGGCAGAATATTCTTAGTGAAAGGTGTTCGCCTGTGGAATTTACATCTTCTCATGGACTAAAAGAGCCTAAATGTGTTGACTTTCATGGAACAATGTAAAGCTTGTCTATTTACCCAGGCTTTTCTGAAGGGGCTAGGCTAAATGTGTGGAGGCTCTCAATGGTGCAGAATGGCTTCGTTGTCGCATCTGTTCAGATTAATACTAGGTAGTGAACGCAAACCTAGATTTTTATGATAGGCTCACAGAGTAAATTGGGGGAAATAGTTTTATGTGGAAGGGTGAACTCCAGGTAAATCTATATTCTGAGAATGCAAAACATTGTTTAGAAATACTGCTGACCTGAGAATAGGAAGAATACAGAAAGGTGTGTACTCAAGTGGTGAAGCTAGCACTCTCCCCAGATGATACTACATTTTCCAATAGCAAGAGTCCGTGCGTCTAGGTTGGGCATCCTCTCTTTAAATTGCGTGCTTAGTTTTGCTTGCTCAAGAGAATCATCTTTAAAGGGTCACTGCTTGATTAAAGGTTATTAAAACAAATATCCTTTCCACGCGTTGCTAAACTCATTTTAGATTATTAAAACTGATTGGATTACAAGAATCTGAAGTGCAGCTGACCTTTTTGTTCATGCTTCCTGTGTATTTTTTGCTTTTCATTCTGCTTGCAGTTCCATTTTCTACATCTCCTGAACTGGTGAGATCTTTGTAAACACTGCAGGGGAACGTTTAAATCCAAATCAAATCTTGCTGTGTTGAATTTTTGTTAATTTCCTCAAGTGCAAAGGGCTGACAATGAGCAGTGATCTGTGAAATGGGCTCCTCGCAGGTAGAACAAATAGCGAATGTGCGTATCCACCTTTGGGAACAATGAGGTCCATCATGAGAACTGCTTCAATCAGGCCTTGTCAACAGAGACCTAGGAGGCCTGATTGGCTGTGACCAAAAGGCCTTGCTAACCCAGGTCCAGGATAAAACTTGAATGCACAATTACAACTACCTAAAACTTGCAGTCTGACAACAATGTACTAGAAATGGAGGAGGGAGTTTCTGGAGCTAAACCTTGCGCCATGCCCAGAATAATTTTGGAAGTTGTTTTTCTAATAACCAGGACTCCAAATGTTTGGCACTATAGTACCTTTATGGCTGTCATGCTGCATTTATTAGTCAAACACCAACTGATTCTAAGACCTTTGCCTGAGGATGGAGTGTGGGATTGGACCCTTGCCTGGGAATCCTTTTTTCAGCAGGAGGCAAAGTGCTAACTGTTGTGATTTACTAAATAGGATTGTTTAAGGAAGTTACAAAAACAGTGTTTCTGCAGAGGATACAGAGGCACTTTATTGAAGCAACAGTGAAACCAAACAACCTTTCAATCGATTTTTATCAAAGCACTCTCAGTTTCTATTTCAAGGCAGTTAAAGTGATGATGAATATGGTGCAGAGAGAATCTGTTTGTAGAGCTTTTTTTCATAAAATGAAATATTGGTGCAGGCTTCTTGGCTCTTAACATCTTTTATTTTCCTTTTTTTTTCCCATGGGAAATATTTCGATGCTTCCTTGAAATATCCTCTAACATGTTTTATGACAGACTTAAACACATTTGTTCAAGAGCTATTTTTATTTTTAACAGCAAATGCAGGTCTAGAAAAATGTATTATGGTGGACAAGGACAACAAAAACTAAAAATCTAGAGAAAATTAACCCATGTTTCATTGTCCATATGTGCAGTGTCTCTTCCTTTCAGAGTAAATGTTTGCTTTGTTGTGGTGTAAACCTGGTAAGATTCATTCTTCAGAAAAATGCCTTTTCCCAAGGACAAAATCAAGGCTTTAAAGAGCACGTTTATCTGCTTTGCTAGCAAAGTGTTCCATTCTCATGACTTCTGTTGTAAACCCCCCACTCCACCCGCTCAAAAAAAAAAAAAGCCAGCATATGTCTTGGGACTTTATACAGAGATACATATGTACTGTGCACTGTTTTGAAGGTGGATTGTCCTCCACTACAAAATTGGAATAGCTATTTAGTGTCAGACTTCTAGACACAATATATGGTACTTGAATACATCAAAAAGATACACGACTTGCCAGCCCACTGTGAATGGGATGGAGATGCTATTCTCTGTATAGGTACCTAAAATAACATGGACTGTGGTCAAAACCCAGTCTCCCAGTGTTCATACAGAATTATGCTAGTCATGCAAAACAGTCTGACGATAAAGTGCTTTTAGTTTTATAAGATTACTTAGATCTGCTTTCACTTCATGATGATGTATTGTGTTGCAGAGAAAATCTCTTAGCAAAATGAATATCTTGCTTTTAAAAGGAGCAAATAAATACTGAGTCATGAATCTGGTAGCTTAGGGAAACTACATATATGTGAGAAGCTGGATAATTACTATAATACCATTTAATACCAGATTCCTAAAGCTGGATTGATTTTTTTTTTATAGTCACAAAAGCAGATTGCCGCTCATGAAAGTATTAGACTATGTGTTTTTGAATAATGTCGTTTTATCTGCTGCAGCATAACATGCTTAAATGTATATTCCATTTGTTTCTAATATAAACCTATATGTACCAGGTTACAATTTGACGATGGGCAGCTCACAGTTTGATATTGCTTTAAGTCCTATATCTTTAAAAGTGTGCTAAAAAACTAATGGACACCCAATATTTGGTTTTGGTTTTTAAACCTCCCATTGATGTCTCTTTATTTGAAACAATTTGCTTGCGGTACTGTTTCTTGCATTCTCTACGTATGTTTGTGGAATGCTGAATTAAGACAACTTTCATGAAAGGAATGTTGGAACAATTTGAATTCTTAAATTGGGACCAGCCTTTAATAAAACTTTCATTGAAGGTGAATGAGGCATTTGATATGGTGCTTGGTGATACTTCTGTAAAATGATCTCTTACTGGGAGGAAAGAAACTTTTAGTATTTGGAGAGACAGTGTTGTGTTTAGTTGGGTGGTGCTGGACTGGCCAGCACTTCTGCCTTCTATTCTTGGCTCTGCCAGAGTCTTAGTAGGTGACCTTGGGCTAGTCACTTAATTCTGTGTGCCTTGGTTTCAGAATCTTTACAACATATTGTTGATGAGAGGCTAAAATGTTTAAGTGCTTTGAACTCATTGGATGAAAGATTCTTATAGCAGCCCCAAGTATTATGAAATGTACTCAAGGGTGAGCCTGTTTGTGGTGGCTAGTGTTTGGGGTAATATCAAAGGGATTTTTGTGACGACTGGTGCTGTGAACCTGCACAGGTCCTGCAGCACTAGCATTCAAACACAGCTTTCTGCTTGCATCCATGCAAACATCTTAGGAAGTGTTACTTCTCTGCATTTTAAAAACTGGTTTAATGTGGGAGGGCAAAAACCCAATCCTCTCTAAACAGCCATGTCTGCTGTGTTTTAGTCACATCCTATGCTGCCAGAAGATCTACTTTATTCCTGATGATTCTGTTTATTCATTTCAGTTATTCTTCCTTGAAAAGGATTCTTTTGAAAGAGGCTGGTCCTTGTGCCCAAGAAAGCGATAACCTGAATGCCTAGCTATATCTGAACCCCTTTTCCCTTAGGAGCAGATGGTTTACTTTAGTTTAACGAGTTGTTTCTCCACGGTTCCAAATCTTTCAACTCTCTTATTTATAAATACTCCTAAAGCTGTTCCAGGAGGCGAAATGAAAATGGAATCAACCAATCTATTGCTTCAATCTCTCAGCCTCTTTTAAAAAACAAAACACTACATTACGACCGCCCTGTACAATCTGGAGCAGTCTGATGAGCAATGCAGGGATCAAATGCTATCGTCAATAGTGTAATAAAGTATCCCAAAAAATCAAGGGTTGCATAAATGCATAAACTAATTAAGTGTATTTGTATCAAGACAATGCCGAGGTCAGACTATCCACACTGGACCATATTTGCCATTGCTTCTCTAACTTGGGAATCAGCGTAACCCAGGAACCCTCCAGGGGCTCAGCGTATGAACATTGCCAAACTATGCCACGAGATGCAAAGAGGAGGCTGACTCGTCACAAGCAGTGTCAGGAGACCGAGAGGACAAGTACACATTCCAGTTAAACCTGTTTGTATGCTTTGGGTAAGAGCTTGTAAATCTGGTTATTGTATGGCAAGCATGTGCAGACTATTCTCCCATTTAGCAATCAGACATTCTGGCCTAGAAAGAGTGACTGCCAGGCAAGAGGTCGTCTGTTCAAATTCAGGTCAGAAGATGCCATGGAAAATGAGAGCAGATAATTGTTATAAACTTGTTACGCTTCTAGGCTGTGTCTACACTTAAAATGCTACGCCGACACAGCTGTGGCACTGTAGTGTTTCAGTGTAGATGCTTATCTCTCCTGTTGCTTTGGATAACCCGCCTCCCTGAGAGGTAGTAACTAAGTTGACAGAAGAATTCTGTTAACTTAGCCATGTTGCATCCTTTGTATTTTTATGGGATACATCTGCTGAGAGAAGTGTAGTGAACTTTGCATTTGACAAGAATAATGGGAATAAAAAAAATTCATATTCATGGCATGGCTGAGTTAATATGGCAGAAGGGACCTTAATGCTGACTTTTGAATGCTTGTTTCTCCACTTTAACCTTGCATTCATTACAGCTTTCTTCATTTATTTTCCCAATGGGGTTTTTTTTAAAGAAAAAGACATTCTCCTCCTCCCCGCCCCCCAAAAATCCAACAACTCATGATTAGACTTACAGAAATTGCAAGCTCCAACAGCTTTGCCAGCAGAGCTTGAAGGTTCCTTTAAACCTTAAAGGGTTGCAGTCCTGCAGCGCTTAGTAATTCTGGGCCACTTTGGCTTCCCCAAGCTAACAAATGCATCCTTAAGTCCACCCGTTCTTAACAGAAGCATCCTACTTGCATTCTGAGAACCAAATATTACTTTTAATGGGGAAGTACGAAATTACTTGTTTTCAGCATTTGTAATTTTAAAAAGACTGATCGTGATGATTTCAAAGTTGGCCCTTTAAGTCTCTGTGAAAACAATCCAAGAGGGGAAGTCTCAAGTCTCTACTTTCAATCATTTTTGATCTAGAAAAGCCGAAGAAAGGTTCTTTTCCCCTTGTATTCGCATAACTCAAACTGTTTAACTGGTTCCTTGTGGACTAAAATGTTGCCTGCTTGACTTCTGTCTAAAGGGTTTGTTTTTGGAGCTGTAGAAGATACATTGATGAGATAGTGGTTACTGTAGATTAAAATGTAACGGCGTTAAGAATGTTAGGCAAAAGAGTTTGCATTGAGTCCTTTGTCAGTTAAGCCATCTGGAGTTTTGATTGCTTAGTATCTATGAAAGAGCACCCCTGTTGTGTGCTAAATTGCTTATCTGTATATTAAGCAGATGTTGACCACTACATAATTTGGCTACTTGCTTTTCATCTCACTATTTAGACTTTTAGGCTCTGCTAGCACGTTTTGTTTATAATCTAGAAATCTGTCTTGTATCATTGTGAGCAGTTATAATCTGAGTGCTCTGGAGTATTTCCCAAGAAATCAAGTACATGGCAAGCGATGTCACAATAACAGGGACACAAGCAGAAGAAAAGGTGCAAGCAAGGGACCTTGATTTATGGGTGCCATTATGTCTTGCCACTAGGGCCTGATGTGGAATAGGCAATAATAAATAATTTGGTTTATCTCTGAACTGTCTTCTGTAGCGATGACATTAAGTTCTAAGTCAGGGGTAGGCAACCTATGGCACGCTTGCCAAAGGCAGCACGCAAGCTGATTTTCAGTGGCCCTCACACTGCCCGGGTCCTGGCCACTGGTTCGGGGGGCTCTGCATTTTAATTTAATTTTAAATGAAGCTTCTTAAACATTTTAAAAACCTTATTTACTTTACATACAACAATAGTTTAGTTCTATATTATAGACTTATAGAAAGAGACCTTCTAAAAACGTTAATGTATGACTGGCACATGAAACCTTAAGTTAGAGTGAATAAATGAAGACTCGGCACACCACTTCTGAAAGGTTGCCAACCCCTGTTCTAAGTAAAAGGGTATTTTAGAGAAAAGAAACAGCGTACCACCAATATATTTTGCTAAGATTTGGGAAATACTGCTAAACATCAAATCATTTATTAACCAAGGAATTATTGTGGCAGCCATAAAATGGTTGGCTAATCAGAATAAGATCAGTTTTTATTTACAGGCATAATGAGCAATTAAGTTTGAGCAGCTGTCAGACTTGGAAAGTGATTAAAGTTCAACAGAAAACAAAATGGGTCAGCATTTGGTTGTGATTGTTTTCTTGACATTGCAGCTCATTAGTGTGTGTGTGTGTGTTGTAGTTACTATAATAAGTAAAGCAGCCTTTAAAATTTCTATCTAATGCAGTGGCTTAACACAATGAGTGAGTGGTGAAGATCTGGTTTCCAACAAAGTTCCCTGGAAGCATAAATTTTTTTTTGATGCAGCTGGATGAGTTGGGAGTTTTTGTATGGACCTCTTCTGGGGATGGTGGCAGAGTCAGGTGGTGCAATGCAAGACCTTATTTGAGGAGCAGAATGTGGAATGGCCTGTGAGGTCCTTGACACCATATAGCTCTATCCCAACAGAAAATGATGACTTCACCCACCTACAAGACGTCCTTTTCTAACAGATTTTTTATTTCGTTGACTCAATCTGAAACTTTTTATGGTATTTTTTTTTTTTTTTGGTTTCATAAAATCTTCATGATTTGGGCTTTTTTGTCCTGATTTGGGATGGGAAACACTTTTTTAAGTTTGAATTCCTGCAGGACTGGAAAACTGTTTCCTGCCCAGTACTAATGAAAATTGCAAAGAAATTTTCCAGATATAAAATGTAGCACCTAAGCTCTATTTTGGCTTCATGGCTCAACATTGCACTGCACCATGAAACCCAAGGGCTTGGAAGCAGAATTGAAATCGTTAATCCTCGGGTCAATAAAGACCGAGGAGCTACATTTTGAAGGCAGTACAAGAAGGGTTACATGCGTGCATCTTGTTAACCATTGTAGGATTTATGCCCAGAACTTCCGAACAAGTGCTTTGAAAATGTAACCCCCTAAGCATTTGCCCGACATTTGCATTTGCTTGGGCTCTTGGAAGGGGTGGCTGAAAACAGACTACCCCAATGGAAACGGCTTTAGCGCAAAATTATTTCTTTCACCTAATAGAGCTTCATTGAACCCAACTTCCATAGAAAGGAAACCTTTAAAACTAGTGTCGGTGCTGTACTGTTGAAGCCACAGGAGCTTGAGTGAGGCAGAGATTGTTGCCTTTTAACAAAGTCTACTGTGTTCTTTTTAGCGGTGTGAAGGAAGGCTATGGATTAGAGAAGCAAATTGATGCACTTCTTGGTGCGTATTGCAACTTGGCTACCTCTAAAAGCTACAGATATCTGACTGTCTTGTTTTCTGCTGCTTGTTGGGTAACCAGCATCTTCCAGATGGCACTGAATTCAAGTTTTCTTATGCATAGAAAGATTGGAGACGGATGAGGTGGAATGTTGTGCAATCATAGTAGTTCATGATTTGTTTGGTTCCATTCATGTTGTCATTACATGCATATATTTTAATGGTTCCACCTATAATTAAGTACATTGTTTTGCTTGTCAATCTGCAGTAGTGCTATAGTTGTGAAGTAAGTCTGGTTTTATAACTAGTTTCTGTGTGGGAATGACAGAGTTTGCTTCTCTTTCTTACTAAGTGTCATTAATGTTTAAATTTATTTCGAACAAGTGAGAATGCAGGCAATTGACTTTAGTAGTGACCTGCAAAAAATAGAGTACTGATGAGGGGTTCTACAAGGTGAAGAAAATCCAGCAGTTTGTTGTTTGCAGCAAACAAAACTTGTTACGAATGGGTGGGCAGGCAGGGGAGTTTTTTAAATATGAGAAGGGATTTTAGCCTTTGAGGCTACAGTGGTTTGGAAATTCTTAGAACATTTCACCCATGAAAGGTAATTAGTTTTGTTTTATGAATATGAAAGACACATAGCTTGTAAGTGCCGGAGTGAAGTCCCAAATGGGTTATTAGAACTTGCTTTATTCATGTAGTACAGAATTAGCCATCAAGCACCGCTGGATTTCAAATGTAGTTCACGGACACACTGATCGTCCATCATTTTCATAAAGGCTGCTTCTTTACCTGTAATTGTTTGAAATTAAACACCCCCCGATGAGCGAGGAGGGGACACAACTAAACACTGACACCCATCCTCACTCTTATTTGTGCTTTGAAGCTTGTCACGTAATGTAACTAGGTTGTCAAGCTCCAGAACTCTTAGATGTAATGTAAATGCTGACCTGTGGTACACTCTCCCCTCTTCCATACCTCATGGTTTCATCTCTTCGGTCTCAAAGGTAGTAATTCTTTTACTTTGGATGGATGGTGTCAGTCCACCTGTATTTTTTTAATGTATTTTAAACCAGCTTGTTTATGCAATTTTCCCTTTGCCATCCTATGAAATTTTAAGGACAATATATCCATTACCTAGAGTATTTGTATATACCTATTAATTGGAAAAAGGCCAGGTTGGAAGATAAATCCTTAGCTTCACCTCCTTGGAATTTTGGGCAAACAGATATTGGAAGTTCAGTTGTGTTTTCTAACAGAATAGGAAAGGTTCATGAACGTGAGTAAGAAGCTTATTGAGGTTTTCAATGGAGCTTTAATATGGACTCTAAAGACTTGTCTTTATTGGCAAGGACAGTATTTTCTGGCTATTAAAGTACATACTGGAAAAGCTTTTCAGGATTTTTAAAAAATATCTTGTGATAGGTATTCAGATCTCCCGCCTTCCTCCAATCATAAATAATTTGTATATGGTCAGTCTTTGAATTAAGCAATCTTTTGTTCTCCTTAAAGGAAGCCTTTTTTAATACCGGCTGTGTTCAGTTAAAACACCATGCGGTTCACCCTTGCATAACGTGAAGAATCTGGTCTGCTTAGTTATCCAAAACCGATAGAGAACTGAAAACTGTACAAAAAATGTTTTGGCCTACAATTGGTGGAATGTGTACACTAGCCAGCCAAGATGCATGTCTGTGACTTCATGACATCTGTACACAAACACGGCTGCCTTGTTGTGGTCAGGGGAAGGAGTGAAAGTTGA